CATTTATTTATTTATTTATTTATTTTGTTACCTCTTTTATTCTTTTTCCTAATCACTTTTGAATTATTTAGTATTTAGTATTTTATTTTAGTTGTTGGCTTTTTTGCTAAGTTTCTTTGTGGTATTTTTTAGTGGTTACTCTTGAAATGATAATGTACCCACCCAACTTTTCACAGTCTATGTAAAGTTAATAGTTTACTATTTCAAGCAAACTATAGAAGTCTTACCACATATAGGTTCTTTTATCCTTTCCTTTTGTGAGTGAGTTTTTCCTATATTATATCCATACACGTTGAAACATTATCATTTTTACAATCAATAATCACTTTAAGTAACTTAAGATGAAAAAACATTTATTCAGATATTTTCCTCTGCTTCTTTATTCCTAAAGTTCCACATCTCCCTCTGGTGCAATTTCTCCTCAACTCAAATGATTTTATTTAGTATTTCTTTTAGACCATATCAGCTGATGTTGATTTTTTCTCATCTGAGAATGCCTTTATTTTCCCTGAAATACTTGAGGATATTTTTACCTTACTGTTTTCTTCTATTAAAGATATTATTTCACTGTCTTCTGGCTTGATTGTGTCTGATGAAAAACTTGTGGTCATAGTCTCCTTTACATATAATTTACCATTTTTTTTCTTCTTACTACTTTTTAGATGCATGTGTGTGTGCATGCATGCATGTGTGTGTGCATACGTGTGTGTATGGTACTTAGAGGTGAACTCAGGAAGTGTTGGGCTACGTTCTCAGTCTTTTTTTTTTTTGGTACCTGGAATCAAACTCAGGACCTTGTGCTTGCCAGGCAGGCACTTATGCCACTGAGCTATATCCTCGGCCCTTTTCTTTTTGTATTGGGAATGGAACTCAGAACCTTGCTCTTGCCAGGCAGGTGCTTATGCCACTGAGCTATATCCCCAGTCCTCTCAGACATTTTTTAAAATTTTATTTTGAGATAGGGTTTTGCTAGGCAGACTTCAAACATGTGACCCTCCTGCCTCAGCCTCCCCAATAGCTGGGACTGCAGGTATGTGATCTACATCGAACCTAAGATTCTTTCTTTACCTTTGATTTACAACAGTTTGATTGTAACATGTTTGAGTGTTTTCTTTGAGTTTAACCTATTTGAGGTTCACAGAACTTGTTGAATCTGTACATTTATGTCTTTTAGTAAATTAAAGTTTTCTCTCACTTTTTTCAAATACATTTTCTCAGTCAACTTCTTTCTCTTCTCCTTTCTGGAATTTCAATAACATGAATGTTTACAGCAACAGGCTTCTGAGGCTGTGTTAATTTTTCCTTTCTGTTCCTTTTATTATATAATTTATATTGATCTATTTTCAAGTGCACAGACTCTTTCCTCTGTCATCTCTGTTCTGCTGTGGAGCTCATCCGGTAAATGTTAATTCTAGATATTATCTCTTTCAGTTTCAAAATTTTTATTTGTGTGTCTATACGTATTTCTATTTTTCTGCTGAGCACTTTAATCCTTTTATTTCAAGAATGTTCCTCTTTACCTGACAGTTATAATGGGTGTTGTTGGTTCCAACTTGGGTCATATCAGGGTTAGCATCTTTCGAGTTTCTTTCCTCCTGAGATTTTCCTGGTTGCTCATGCACTGAGTAATTCTGGATTGTACCCAGAATATTTGAATATTGTGATGCAAGATTCTGTGTCTCTCTTAAAATCCTCTGACGAATGTTGATGTTTTGTTTGTGTTAACAATTAACTGGCCCGGGTTCAGACTGCAAGTTGTGTCTCATCTTCCATGCATGGGAATTTTGATGTCACTTCAGTGTTTGAGGCTTTGCTATGTTATTTATCTCCTCTACCAGTTAGAGTTTAGTCGGGGACTTTCCAGGTTATTTCTTGGAGATCTTGCTACTCTATTGCATATTCTGCAGGTATACATTTGAGAATTGAGTCTGGGATTTATGTAGGGTGTTATGCAGAATGAAGAAGATTGTCCTTTTCCAGCCCTGTCCTTTCTGTTATTTCCCAAATTCTTCAGCTCCTCGAGGGTCTTTCCTTTTCTGAGTCTTCTGACCAGGGTGTAGAGTTTTCTTAGAGTTTTAGTTTCCTGCATTATTTTGCTCATGTGACTGGGGCTGTTTGGGTGTAAAGCAACGAGAGAAAAAGAAAGAAAAAAGAAGTAAAAGATTATTTTTTACCTGAGGAGCACGACCCCTTTCACTATTTCTCTGGTCAGAGAAAGATTTTTTTTCTGAGAATTTTAGATGTCCATGTAGATGCTACTGCTGTGAGAATGCAGGGCAGTGGCTGGGGCTCATCTCTGGACAGGACTGGGAGAACACAGACAGAAGAAAGCACATAAAGAAAATCAGGGGTGTCTTATATTCCCTCTCAGGCAGGGTTTCCTTTTCTGGCATTCTAGTGTGCAAGAGGTGATTTTTCCTGACAGTGCTTACTACACAACTCCAAAACTTTGGCCTGCTCTTAGGTTAAACCATAAAATAAAGATGATAAAAACACTCCGGAAAGCTCATTTAGGCTGTATATATTCCCTGATATCGGCATAAGTGGAATTGCTGGGCCAGAATTAAGATTTAATCTGCATTTCAACTTATGGTCTGAGTCAGGGCTTTGATCAAGTTTAGGGTCTGATTGTGGGTGTGATGTGGACACTTGCTGGATGTTCTGCCATTTCTCCTTTGTGGGGGCCATTCCCTGGTCCTACCCCCCAGCAGCCTTTGCCCCAATCTGATCCCTTTGTCCTAGAGATCAGTGCAGGGACCAGGTAGGTGCTTGAACAAAGCTGAGTGCTATGGCTTGAATGCTGGACTTCTCTAAGACTCAAGTTCAAATTAGTTGCCATTTAACCACATTAAGAGGTAGAACCTTAACAGGTATTTAAGTCATGAAGACCTCATACTCAT